CACCCAACATTGTTCACCCTGTTGCCCACCCACTTTAACAATGGTATATTCCAATTGGGTGGTTTATGTCCTGGGTGGTTTATGTCCTGGGTGGTTTATGTCCTACATTCGTGTGTGTTATCCCAACCTTTCTATACAAAGACGGTTAAATGTGTTCATGACATTATTTAGTTTGAGACACATTTCAAAATGCAAAATCAGTTGGCCAAGAACTAAAACTAAATGAAAACTACTTTCTACTACATTCTGTAATTTACAATGGACAAAACATGTTGAGAACATGCTCAGAAACCAACCTAATGTAAAAAAAACCCCAGAAATTTACAACATACATTTTACAAATTTTTTACAGACATGTTTTTTCTTGTATACTTTTAATATCAGAACCCCAGGATTATTCAGATAAAATATGGCAATATTTCTTTCAATTTGAAATTAAAAATTAAATTTAAGGAGCTTTTGGTAGTATTTAAAGCTGGCTAAAACATTTCCAAATCTACTCCCAAAAATCACCTTTGAAACTGAATATTATACATATTATCAACTGCATATATTGAAAGAGTTTCCTATTTATCCAATTTAAAACTAATCCATAACGCAATAGAAAATTTTCACAGAATTTCTGAAAAGAAAGTTACCTTGGAAAATGTTTGAGCCAGATGGAATGCCAGCCTTCCAGTTGCACATCCAAGAACAAGTGTGGATTGGAATTGATTGATGTAATTTTTCACCGCCCCATCGACAAACTCAGCCAGATTATCGTAGTAATTATTGACGCTGATGCCATATTGTTTGTAGAGCATTTCATTGGGATCGTCATTCAAAAACTGTTTATTTGTACTTGGAAAGAACATACTGTCATGGACAATAGGCAACAATGATGGGTTTTCTGAAAAAAAAATTAACCTAATAGAATAAACCTAATGATAATAATAAATAAACATCAATAATAACATTTAACCCCTTAAAACAGTATACACTATAATGTTTGTCAGATTAAAAAATTTAAAATTGATCAGAGTGACATCCAATACAACAGATGACATACAATTTGTTTGATAGTATATATCTAAAAAAAAATATAAGACAAGCTTTGATCAAACATTTTTATGTCTGACAGATAAAATTTTAACAGGATACAGCGCATATAACCCAGTTAAAAAACAAAAAAGTAATAATATAAAATTAAGGTGAAAAAAGGAAAGAAGTACATAAACATGAAACTTACTTTACTTGGCTTATTTATACTTGAGAATAGAGTACATAGGTTCTCTTTATCTCTTAGTCCTAGTATTTATATAAGAAAGTATAATACATACTCCAAGTATTGAAATGCATGCCATCGTGTTGGGATTCATTTCAATACCTGGAGTATGTATTATACATTCTTATCTGAGATTGTTCAGTGGATCTTTCGGTAGTATTTATATTCAATCTAAAAATGTATCCACATAATCCGTATTAATCCGCGCTATACAATAATGAGAGAATACATGCCTTTATAGCCAAAGGAAAGAATGTGTACTTCAGAGTCAATCAGGTGGATTGGAGGAATATCACAGGGATTAATATTGCAAACCAGTCGGAATCCCATGTGTTGGAAGAAATGACGCCGGAAGTCAGCGCGGCCAAACCTGGATGCTTGCTGTCCTGTTGATGCCCACGAGCCTCCCTGAAATAATACAACTTGTCAAATATTTGTCAAGTTATCTGCTTTTTAAAAATTTTATTCTTTACCTGAAAGACTGCTCAGGGAAAACAACCCCTGGTCATCTGTAGATCCCAGCAACACAGTATATATAAACATCATAAAACAAATTATAAACATTAAAAATACAGTATTCAACAGGTCGCATGGCAGAAGCACTATAACATTTCACTAGATTGTATATAAGGTCTATGTATACAAACATATTACATGACAATACAAAAAAAAAGGTTGTCTTTTCCAAACCCAATGGACCAGACATAGAAAATGTATAGTGGGCTTTAAAATCATACTCTAAGAAGGAGACTACAGCACTTGTATGTGGTATGAGAAGGCTACTTTTCAATCTTTAGCTAATATATTAGCTTAAAGCAGGGAACAGTGGAATTACATTAAATTGTAATTTCACTGTTCCCTGGCTTAAAGATAGCTATAAAAAATGTTTAAAATACATTTGGAATAGGAAAAAAATCCATAAATATTGCATATCATTGTAAAAAAGCAAAATATTAATTTAAGGTTTTAATTTTAAAACCAATAGTTTATTACTAATATCCACGGAATGATGACAGGGTGTTGTTATTTGAAGTATTTTAGTGTCTTTTTTGATTCTTAAATGTATTATACAAATTTTATCATAGAATGCCAACGAACGAATGAATGAAGAATGAACAATGAATGAATGAATGAACAAATGAATGAGAATGAATAAATGAGTGAATAAATGAATGAATGAATGAACAAATGAATGAATGATATTTTTATTCATGGCAAATTTTAAACTTAATTTAGTATTACAGTACTGTATTCTTTTTATTTTTAATCTTTATGGCTATGTTCTTAGTGTTTTTTACTGTATCCAAATTTACTGTACTTATTCAATTTTAACCATCTGTTTCAATCCATTTTTCGTCTGATCTTTAAAATGTTTATTTTGTACGCTTTTTCATATTTATATTGTAATATGTGACAAGCATGGCAAATTTCAAGACATTTGATGAGTTCGACCAATAAAATTGAATTCAATTCAATTCAATTGATGCTTATAATTATACTCAAGAGTCCCCACATTGCTGTTTTAAATGTTAGCAACAAAATAGAGGAGCAACAAATAGAGATGTAAAACCATTGAAAAAAGATTTACTATCAACTTATTGCAGCACTTTTACTGACATTTTAAATAACTTTCAGCCCATTGATAGCGCTCAAATACTCTTTGAGAATCAGGGGAGAAGCCCTTGAAAACTCGGATAATTTAGCATTTTGGAATGCACTGATTTTAGGGTCTCACAAACTATTTACCAATTGCCTGTGCCTAACACCAAGTGAGGTTCACAAATAATGGGAGATCCTATCAGGTAAATAGTACCCAATCAACGGTGCTGCCAGGAATTTGCCAACAATGGGTCCGACATGTCTGACAGAGTGGTCCAAGCCAAGGGGCGGACTAGAGCCTCGAATCTCTAATAAGGTTCACTGGGGGAGTTTTTATGGCTTAGTATATGCATGTCCAAATGCCCTTTTAGACCACAATATTAGGGATTGGCAATCAAAATACAGTAACGTTACTTGAATATTAAGTGATTATCTATTTCTTTTATTTCTTTTATTATTTATTTTCTTTTTATTTTTGCGTCTGACAACAGGGCTCCTCCCCACCTTCGCGCTGGCGGCACCACAGTACCCACTGGTTTGTGTGGACAGTGAATAAAGGTTAACACCGTTTTGTCATTAAAACCATGGAGGAATTAGTTTAGACCAAACTAATTCCTCCATGCTAATCTAAAAAAAATTGTGGCACGTAAAATTAAACTATTGCAGTAGCGGATCCATCCAGGAATTCAAAATAGAGGGCCCGGGGGCAGATGGAGATGTAAAGAAAGTTATGATTTTACTGTTGGATGGACAGAAATGGCACATTTAGACCTAAATTTGAATATAATTTTCTTTTTCCACATATTTTTTTGTTAATAATTTTCAATAATTTAGAAGGCCCTGGCCATCTGGGAACCCTTGAACCCGCAACTGAATTGAAATAAACACAGTAAATCAATCATTACTCCTCTGAAATTTAAAAACATAAATAATATTGAGTGGCCCGCTGACCTTTTTTTTTTCTTCAAAAATATTTAAAAAAAAACAAAACTAATTCCTTTCCGAGCCACTGGGGCTCATAGGGCTGGAACTTATCCCCAGTTTCTGTAGTGTGAAGCGGATGAGTACTCCCCCTGGACGGGACACTAGTCCATCGCAGGTTAGTCCCCAGCAGATTGCTGGTATCCACTGATACAGCTGGGTGGACTGAAGCAATGTAGCTGAAGTGCCTTTCCCAAGGACACAAG